ATATATATATATATATATATATATATATATACATATCCGTGTTATATGCCACATTGCTGCTGTATACCGTATTATATTAAAATATATCCACCATATTTAGCTTTACTCATCACGTGAGACTGTGCACGTCTATCCCCTTCCTCTGCAAGAAGGGGGGTCTGAAGGTCCTTGTTAGTGCCAGGAGCACTAGCTAGTCAACTATCAGGTGATACAGTAACAGTCACAGTGATTTAAACTTAATATGTCCAGAAGAATACAAGGGAAGAAGTGGATTATGTCACCATAACGTATATGGTTGCAATTCAGAGGATAGGTGTTGTTATTTTCTCGTTCCGTATTCCAAGTTAATATTTCACATTATCGAGCTTCTAGTCAATTTCTTGTCGAAAAGCCAGTGAGGCAGTACATTTTTGCATTTACTGTTGCAGGTATAGAGATGGTGAATGCACCAATACGTACGGCACTTTACTGTGATTTACTTCCAAAACAATTAGCGCTTTAAAATCAAAACAACGTTAGGGCGTTTGGTTTAGGCGTGGGTTTTCTTTTTTGTTGGGAAAGAGGAGGGAGAAAGGAAATGTATTCAACTCTCAGGCCTAACCTCAAGCTCAGAGTAGGAATTCCAAAAAATAAAACTGTTCCATAATCCATCTCCGAAGTGAAGCGGGTGCATGCGGGAAATGGCCGTTGTGGTAGCATTTGCTAACAGCATCCACTTACTGACAAAGCAGTCGATGTTCCCCTTTCCTGAGGATTGCTTGGAAGCAAGCTGATAATGGTTTTGGCTTCCTGCCATGTACCAGCGCCAGTTTACAGTCGAAGCGAGTGAATCAGTCGATTTACGACTATTTGTCCTATTAGAGAAGTCAAAATCTCAGCCTTAAGCGTAGGAGTAGCGCTACTTGGCATGGCACTGTGTCCAATATTCACATCTTGAAACTGAAACGTTTCGGGAGCTGTATTCACATATGCCTGTATTGTTACATTGTGCTCAACTCGATTCAACTCCGTTCGAGCGACGGGTGCATTTCTGTGCCAAGCAGAGCTGAAAAATTCAGATATCTCGTAGTTCTGGGCTGCTAAATTTTTCCTCATATTTGAATTTAGGATATGAAGAAGCGTGCCGAGCATAATGAACCTGAAGAGGTCGCTGCAGCTGATTTTAGAGGCACTGACCGAACTGTGATTCGCCATATGATTTTGAACGATGCGAATAGCATGCGCAGTGGTCAGTTTGTCATTTTGAGCATAATAATTAGATGGATGGGAAACTGATCAACCATTTCTTGGAACAGACGTCAAACAGATGAATCAAGCTTTCCAAGAAGAGGAAGCTCTTCTTTAGGAGTATGAGAGCTCATCTTTCTCAGCCAGCACATTTGCGCCATCACGCTGCTGCCACTCGAAACGCCTGAAAAGCATTCATGTATCTTGATGGTTTTTGTTCCGATGACTGAAACTCCCGCTGTTTCAGGATTAGCAACCAATGAAGGCAGTGATAACCGAGTGAAGATTCTTTACGTCCCACTAATATCAATTGGTTGTTTTACCGCCTCTGTGCGCATTTCGCTTTTATTTCATCTTGTTTTCTACATTATTGCTCCGGGAATTTTTCTTTTTTTTTTTTTTGCCTGAAACTACCTGATTTATTCTGTCGGCCAGTGTTTGCTTAAATTTACTTGATTTCCGTTTAAAATTCGCAGTCTGAAATTACGGTCTCTTTATCCCCGCAACGTCCAGCAACTTGGGGAATCACTGAAGAGATAGCACACATACATCGAACAGGCCATTGGTAGAAAACTGAAGATATGTTACCGAGGTTCAAAGCGCTTAGCACAGCTGCGCCCGGTATATGGAAGCATATGCAAGCACGAAATACTTACACGGCTAACCCGATCGGTCTTAGTATCCTCAGTATAATGCCCGTCAAAATTGGGAAATCCATGTTAGTTTTAGCGCCAACTACTGCTCCATCCCT